GCCTAATAGCGTCCTTGATAAAATATTGCCTATATTCATTCAATTATTAATAAAAAAACTAATTGCAATTAATATTATTTTATTAATAAAAAAAATCTTAAAATGTACCTGCTAAACAAGTAATTTGAAGTGCGAGTGGTATAACGTTGAGATCCATCACTATAGTTATAATGTATTTTGCTTCTTTTAATGTTACATGCATTAAATTTAACACTTTATCCGCTGTATTGAAAAATAATGGAGTTTCCGCTGGCGTAATCTCTTTATATTCGTGTTCCTTCGTCTTTAATACCTAAATATTTGTCAAAATTGTTTAATCATATGAACAATACAATATCAATGTGCCGAATATGACTTACTGCGCTGCAAAGTGATTGCAGATCATAACTCCTAACTTTTAAGTTCAATTCTTTTGCCGAAACTTGTATATCACAAACTGGACGACCGACAAACGCTTGATTAAGGATTATTTTTCCCTGTATAAATATTACTCGTCATCTTGTGTTAGAAAAACTATCTTCGTATATTCATATATATGCCAATTACATAAACATAGTTTTAGTATACTATGTAAATATAACATATTAATTGTAGTATTTTAATTTTAATTTATTGAAAAGAGATAAAGATATATTTTACCCTAAGTAAGGGAGGAGTCGATGATTTTAATCTTCCCATTCTGTTCCAATTAGACACTTTTAATGTAAACATTCTCTGCATTAAAACATCGAACTGAAATGCACAGTCATAGCCTATTATTAAATCAGGATCCACTTTCTGTATTAAAGTTAACAGCTCTTCAAGTAAATCGCTTTCAGTTTCACATTTTATTACTTCGGTATTCGGAACTTTCAGGAAGGCATCACGAATTTGCCGTGGCCAGGGAGTATCTCGTGGACGTGTAACAACTGTAAAAAGTTAATTAAAATTAATACTTAGTCTTCATTAATATTTTAATATGAATGAAGAATCATCTATAATTTAAAGATAAATGAATGTCTTACTTTCTCTGTCGAGAATAAAAATCTTTTTTTTCTGTATTTAAATTACAAAACAATATTACATTCTAAAATATCAATTTAATTATTTTAAAAAATGAAGGAAATAATTAGTAAATAATGTAATGCAAAAGTAAACTTACAACAAAATTGACGTTCATAAGGCGGCTTTGGTGGTTCCTTATCAACATTGTACTTATGATGAATTAATACAACAACCATCACTACTTCATTCTGCAACTTCGCATTTAAAGACATCCTCACATTTATAGTCGCTATTACCATTGGGGGCTTAGCTTTCTCTTGGGAACACAGCGATATATTGTTCATGTCTGAAGTAACAACCTGTTGTATTATAGTATAAAATAAATGTATCGAATTTATTTTTTATTGTTGTAACATGATACATATATTTACGTACAATCTGTGGGCACCAAGCAAATCGCCCTGCAGTGGGGGATATATTCTTAATGTCTAACCAGCAAGGTCCCTTAATTTTTCGTTCTATAAGCAATAGCTCTAATGCATTCACTGTTGTGCCAAAAACGTGTTCTATCGCCGGACCAGAGTAATTCGAATCGATTGCTGGATAGCGTGCATTATATCTGACTTCCAAATAGTCTGAAGTTTTCGGTGTACCCTCCTTTTCAAAGGAATAGTGCTTCTTCACTTCTTTGCAATTGAACTCCATTATACGCATCTTATTGGCGTACTCATCGAACTCTTTATACACATCTTCCATGGTAGTTAATTGCGATTCAGTGTTTTTTATCTGCAATTCACAACCGTAAAAAAAATATTCTTTAGTAATAATTTAATAATAATTAAAATACTAATATATCCAGATATTAAATAAGACTAGAAATAAAAATACAAAAAAACATTGGAAAATATACATACATATTTTCTGGGCAAGAGATATATTCTCCTTGGAATACAATGCACCATAACACAACATGAACAGTATGTATCATGGCTAGATACATAAGTCTTGCCGAAGAGATACACAGTTCCAGGATTCTTGTAAGGATTTTCATATGCATCTAGATAGTAGAACCTAAATACTTCTTCCTCATCTTTTGTCTTGACTAGTTGTGGCGCTACTTCTGTTAAGTCAATGGCATTACCGATTTTCATACTTTTAATAGAAGTTTTATGAGCAGGAATCTTTACACCTATTTCAGGAGTCTTTACATCTATTTTTTGAGATTTAACGTTATTTATCGACGATGAAAAGTCAGTATCCATACTTCCATCATCAAAATCTATTGTGGATAGCTGCAATGTATTTTATATGTAAACTTCACTTCAATATCAATAATAAAATAAGATAATATAGACAACTCACATCTTCAACACATTCACTAAGATCCATTATAGGGGTATTTTCTTCCTCAATAATCTGACTCGCACTTTGCTTATTAGATTCCATTGATTTTTTTGTGCTTTGATCTTCTGACTTTGAATTTTCTTCAATTTTTGAATAATTATTTAATTCTACTGGTTTACTTGTACTCTTCTTCTGTGGCGCATCAAATAATGTCATATCATCATCATCCTCAATTATCTGACTTTCACTTTGTGGAATATTATCAAAATTTGATACAATTGTCACTAGTTTTTCAGATATTATTTTATCAGCTTCTTTTTGATTCATAGATGAAGCCTGATATGTTTGTCTATAATAAATGTGTATGCATAACTATAATTAAGTTTTACAAAGTATAAAATAACATAATAGAATTCATTAACTTACGTAATGTTAGAATGAACTGTATGACAAAATTTATTTCTGTTGCTTCCTAGTTTAGGACTACTTGTAGTCTTTTTATTGGTAGAAATCTCACTGAGCAATTCTCCCAAAATATCATCATCTTTAATCTGAATTACATTAACATCTTTCTTAGAAGGCATATTCCTAATCATACTTTGAATATCTCCTTTCTTCTTGTTGTCTTCCTTCTTTCTTTTTCTAGGGCCAGCCATGCTATTCCTCTGTTTTCTCGCTTCCCGGATGCTTTCTTCATCCAGATCATCATCAAAAATTTCTCTTCCATCTTCGATATATCCACTTTCTCCTTCAATATTTTAATTTGAATTTAATATATACATTTTTTATATCTATATCTTTTTATATTTCTTTAAAGTAGAAACTTAGATATATTTTATAAAATATTTCTCAAGTATGTCACTTTTTTAATATAATATGTTTAAATATGTTTAGATGATAAATATTTTTTAATAATAAAGTAATATAGAAACTCTTTTACTTACCATCATCAACTATCCAATCATCTCGTTGGCGTTTTAAAACAGTATTACTGTATTCTTTCTCATCTACTTCATCATAAACATTTTCTAGCTCTTCAACCTCGTATTTGCGCTTGTTACCACTTCGAGCTTCCTTCAATCTTTCCAGAGCCGAGAGCCTGCCAGTCTTATCGATCTTCTGACGCCTGGACCTGCCAGACGTAGATGCTAAAACATTATTCAGTAAAGTAAAACTGTACTAAAATAACTGTAGTTATTTTAATTACATGTGACACGATGAGAGTGTGATATAATACAATACATCCTACTGTACTGTGAGATCATCCATAAGAAAAACTATTCTTTCAACAATTAAAAATACATTATAAGAATACAATTACCATCTACTAAATTATCAAGAATATACATTATAAACTTAAAGTCTATTTCCTATGAGCTGAAATAGTATATACTTTTAGAATTTAAAATAAAATAAGTATATTTCAGGCAAATAATATTTAGCGAAATCGAAAAAGGAATTTATAATGCAGTCTAATACAGGAATAAAAACAGACCTATATATGTAAACAAAAGGTGTGGCAGATTCAGATTGAATATATATTTAGAGACATTCACGAGTACATGTAATAATATATGTAATAACACTTATCGCGACGTGATACTCAAAAATTATATTCGGTGGTACTTACCCTGCGAATCGTCCATTATATTCTTCTCGTAAAACACATTTGACAACACTTACGCGGCATCTCACGTCATGATAGTTCCACAAGTTTTGGCGGGAAATAAATTTCCCAGCGACAGAAATATCGCGATATCTTGGGATATTCGATTTAATTCGAGAGGAGTAGAATATTTATTTCATTGGTCAATTGAGTCAAGTCCTAGTGAATTTGTTCACGTTGATAATTTTTATCTCGTTACAAGATACAATCGATCTCCAGAATGATTCGAGAAATTTTAATAAAGCACATATTTTCTGAAAAAGCGGAAGACAAATATTATTACAGATAAATAATCAGAAATTGATCTTACAATTAGAATCAAGATAATTTTTAATATTCTATGTATAATGAATGAATATCGCCCTAAAGCATTATTTTTATGTGTTTCTATTTAGGTTGCGTTCCGCTTAATTTTCGCAACGCTCGCGAGCATCATTTTGTCCTTGTTTAATATTTGATAAACAACAAGGATAAAAAAATGATTCCACGAGCGTTGCGGGCATTAAGTGGAATGCACCTTTATATTCTTGTTTATGATTCTTCTTACATGATTCTTAAGAAATTCACTTCGCGAAGTCAGGAATGTTGCAAGGTTGCATCACTGCATCGCACACTTTGAAAATTCGCGCATTGCAGCAATGGTTGTTCGTTGGGATGTGAATACCTTTGAGGAGGTTTCGCACAATAATAAAAGACAAGGAGAAAAATTCACAAGTAGCAAAATGGACAACAGAATATTTTTTTCAAGGTATTATTACTACAAATCTCCCTGAAATTCATAACCTCGCTAGACAATAAACGGTTGCAGGATGTAAAAAAAAGCTCCTTCTAGAGCTTAGATTTTTGCATTAATGCCCATTTCTATCAATGTAGTTTAATTTTAATCTTGGTTCAATTAACTCTTCATCTCTAATTCTAAGAATTAGAAAATATGAAGAGTACACAAATTGAACCAAGATTAAAATTAATTCAATAATTGATAAAAACAATTAGGCTTAAATAGATTATTTTAATAATAATTGCACAATTCCTTCCCATCTTTTTTGCATTTGCATTGCTTTACATTATGACACTTTAATGTAATTACAGACATTCTATCAGTTTTCTATGTAAACCAAGACCCCGCAGACCATTAGAAGGATATATGCGTCGTTCGAGTTCTCTACAATATGAACCATGGAAAATGCAAAATATTCATAAGGTATATACAATTGATAATATTTTGCAGAATTAGATCCATTCGATTGTGAAATACTATTAGGATGTAAAATAAGAGTTTTAATTTATCGATTTATCGAAAATATATTATTGCACAAGTGCACAGACTTGATTTAAAACGATTTTACGGAACAAGTTGGCATATAATATATAACTGGTTTTTAATCAATGAATTAAAAAACTTGTGTATTATCTCTGGCTTATCTCTTAAACAGGTATATCATTTTTAGATTTTTGATCCATTACAGATGTACATACAACCTGTATCACAAACTAAGTATGAGAACTCTTCTAAAAATAAAGAATCATCAACGGAAAGCTCTTTGGCGGAATTTAGAAAGAACTGTTTGTTATCCCAAGCTAGAAAAAGGTTTTCTAATTTATTATCGATATCTTCTTTGCCTAGAATAATAGTAAGTGTTATTATTGGTATAATTCTAGGACTAATTTTTTTGTATATAACAAAAAAAAATACAAATGGAAAAAAAACATAGTTTAAGTCAATTGTTTACACAAGTCAAAAATCATGAAGAATATTACAGTCAAAGTATATATAGTCAACAAGTTTATTTCACATTTACAGCAATTTTTTTTGCATCATATTTTGTCTAATTTATGTCAGCCATAGTTATTATTTTTTACGTAATAATTGTAATGGCTTGATATTCTTTCTCTTAAAATGACAAAATAACTACAAAATGATGAAAATGTCAAACTAGAAACTTTAATTCTTTTTCATCTATATCATTTATATTTATGTGATTATGTAAACAATTATTATAGATGCAAGAGAAAGTTATCAAATTTATTTCTCAATTTAAGAGAATATAAAACCTAATAATAATAATAATAAACCTTGTTAATATTTGTTATTATTATTTGTTGTTGATTTATATATATTATCTATATATACATATTATTTTGTTATCAGTATTTTTTATACAAGTTTAATTTTATTGAATTAATTTTGAGTGAATCTTTTTCGTTACAAAATACTTATACATATAAAGAAATATAAAAAATTGTCCAAAAGAAATAGAAAAAACTAACAATATTACATTGTGATGTTATATCTATTGCTTTCATATGATATATAATTTTAAAATACTAAATACATTATTAGAATTATTTTTGTATATAATGCTCCATTTTTATACTAGTGTATAAGTTATTAATTATAATAATCAAGCATTGTCAAATATCATATTTTGTTTACTGCCCATTAATAAAGTTTTTCAAAATCGCAGGGAATATTATAGATTACTATTACAATTATGCGTATAAAAATAATAGATTTTTGGTTTATAACAATAAGATTTTATTTTGTATGCGAATTATGATTTAATTATATTAATAAACGGTTATGTTGTAAACCTATTTTTCAATGTATATTAATAATTCATCTTGTAATGTAATATAAGTCTTATATTATTAGATCTTATAATGTAATTCGTTTGATAAAAATTGATATTGAAATTCAAATAATATAATTTTTGCGCGTCACATTCGATTTCGTCACCATCTAATAGAATGGGTGCATTAGAAACCCTCAACAGTCTGGCAAAGCCATAAAACTTATAATGAAAGGGAAAAAGCTTATCCAACCAATGAGTGCAAAGAGCAAGACTGGTATGATCAACACGATATTGCAAACTCTTTGAAGCATTTTTTAATTGGTCAGTTTGTAAAATTCTTTCTTCTAATTGGTCCATCAAACGCTTCAAAGCATTTGTAGCGAGACTTTGACCACAGCCTGGGAAACAGAAAATGTATTGTATATTTCTGTCCTGCTTAGTAAGGCTGGGTTCACACTTTGACAGAAAAGCGGAAGCCACTCAGAACTCGCGGAAAGACAGAAGCAGACAAGCGAAATGTATCGTCTACTACTACTACGAATCTGATTGTCAAGGTGGCCTCGATGGAAAAACAGAAAGCGGAAAACCAGCAGCTAATCAGAATTCGTGCTAGTAGTCGACAATTTCAGCTTTTTGTACTACTTATTACCAGCGCGAGTTCTGATTGACCCCTGCTTTTCCATCAAGGTATGAACGCATCCTAAGGAGCTTTGTACAATAAAAGGAACAGAGAACAGAGAATAAGATTTCAATCTATCAGAAATCATGTATTGTGAAACATACAGTTTCTAATAAGTTGAAATTCTTATTCTCTGTTCTTTTTATTGTGCGGGGCTCCTAATTTTTCTTCTTTTTGCGCATGTGCCAAAAGAGAGTAAAAGAGAATAGAAAGATATATTTCTGTCCTTTTTAGATCTTGCTCACAGCTCGACGTTCATATTCCCCTTCCATTACTATAAGTTCCATTACTATAAGGGCAAAGCAATGTTCAAGTTTTGATTGATGCAGCCATTATGTGATAAAATTTTCATGTCATCCTTGTTTAACCTTCGGTAAATAACAAGGATAAAGTAACCTAGGTGTCACTAGTTTGCACCATCATGGCGAGTTTGTCAGACTCTCCCTTGAGGGTCTCTAGGGTGCACCACTCGTGACCATTCTACATAGTACGTCGTCCTACATGGCTACGAATCTATGCTCGAATTTTAACCCGTCAAATTTATAACGAACTTCAGAGAGAGGAGATTTTATATCTGACTAATCTGACGAACCACGAGTTGCAAGAGGGTAAATATTCTTTTCTTTTCGGTGAAATGCTCGCATAACAACATTAGTTGGTTGCTAACAATCTGCATCTATTTATGATCGCTTCGCGGATGATAATGTAATCCCAGATGATTTCGGAGCAACCCGAGCCTCGGTAATGACTTCTAGCCGTATATCTAATGTTTGCCACGGACGAGTGAGTGATAAAAAAACAAAGAGAAAGATTATACGCTGACCTTTGTATCTCGATGATTATACTTGTGTGAAATATATTATTGACAAGGAAATATTGCATTGTGCACTTAACCAGTTTAAAAAGAATATTGTTATTTTGCAACTTGAGATAAAGAGTCTGTAGCTGAACTAGTATACATTATACTTAAAATAGAAATAAGTATATATTTGAAGTTTAAAAGCGAGATAGAAAAGCTGCACTTTTCATAAATTATATAATGTATCATTGGTATATCATTTTAACCTTGTTTACCGAATGTTAAACAACCAAATTTCATAACATTTTCTACTGGAACAATTTGTGCAATACACATTTGTGCAATACTGATACACAATTTAATGCAATTTAATCCTTTTAAGGTCGTGACAACAAAGAATATACAATTAAAAGGATTAAATTATTAACACTGAAAATGTATGAATTGATTTACATTCAATTGCACTCAGTATGTACAAGTGTTACACTAGTTTTTTTTTAGCAGAAAATGCTATTATTAGTGCAATTCAGTACAGCAACAAAAAATAGGATTAAAAAAATATATATTTTAATAAGAAAAAACATATATTTTAAGTAACTTAATGTCTTTTAACATATCTTGTATCTTTAACTCTAATTTTAAACTCTAAATATATATCTATTTTATTTTAAGAGAAGTAGTTCAGCTAAAAAGAATGTCAAATCCGACTTCCTTATTGTTATTACATGTTAGGATTCACTGTTTATAATAACTTATAAACTGTTTGAAAAACACATTCATTTTATACGTTTTTTCTGATATATGAAGAGTTTTGTATCAATGTATCAAAATGAATGTATCAAAACACAGACTGGTATTTTCAGTTGGTTTTTTGAGATCGTCATTTCGGTCTTAAGAAGCTAGTAGATTCTATAAATAGTCTATGTTATTTTAGGATTGTATTAAATAAGGTGGTCTTAAATATAAGAATATCGACTATAAATATCAGCCTAAGTTTGTAGATAATATTATACTTGAGTTTATTATATGGCGATCGCCATTATAATAAAAATGTAGTTTCAGTTATAATGTCAAAGACGCACAGTCCAACACATTTTAAAATTAACACGCGGATGCGAGTTCCCAAGAGTATTCGTGTAAACGGAGATTATCCAAACGAAGATATCGCTATCACAAATAGAGCTACGTGGAATCAAATACCTGGTATGGATAAACTTGAAATGCATGTACCAGAGAGGATTCTTGTTGTTGGTGAGATTTTATTTTGAAAGACTGAAATATTTTGCATTTGTGATAGAAATATTTTACTATTTTATTTTGCTCACTCTTTTATAATAAGCTTGTATAAATTATTCATTGTAGGACAAGAGCAACATGTTGGTACTAAGGCACCACCACCAGAAATTGTTTTAGAAAATGCTGTAATGCGCACTGAGCCAGCTATAGTTAGAGTACAGGTAATCTATTTAAAAAATTATGAATTGGCAATTTGTCATCAAATATTTATCATTATCGACAGACACCTCCGAGAATTTTGACTCTGGACAATCACTACTTCCCAGCAGTGGATGAAGATGATCCTCCTATAAATCACAATGAAGTTGCAAAACCAGTAGATGTACCTAAAACATATAATGCAGAAACACAGATAACAAGACATGTCAGGTACGGAACTCTTGACATTATTAGGATAGAATCTTTTGCAGAATATTTTGTTTCTTATTTGTTTTACTTTTATATAGAGAACAAACACCTTTTAATGCTCTCGACGTGTCTCTGCCGCCCACTGAGGAAGTTCAGCACTTACGTCGTCAAGTAGGTAAATTAAATCGCAGAGTGATGGCACTCGAATTAGACATGTTACATCGCCAACAAAGAGACAAGCTCCTGTATATCGCGACCGTAGCATATTTCATTTTAAAAGCTTTTTCCTGGCTAACCAGAAATTGAAGCAAATTGAAAAGAAGAAAGGAATAAAAAAGAAAAATGCCAGAGATATTTATTTCCTTAAAACAAAAAATGATAAACCAGCATTGAGTCATTCTTGCTGTAAGAAAGTATAACCAAAGACTTTTTGTCACAGTCTCGTGATCGGTCATCGGAAATAGACGACGATATAGCATACGCGTGTGAGTGTTTCTATATCATATAATTAAGAAGACAGATCAAAAGTATAATGATCGGATTGTCTTATCGTAATTAAAAGTAAATCTCGCTTATATAACTTTAAAGAATATGTGTGTACTCTGTTAGATTTGACAATATGTTATTGTTAATGTATATAAAACATTCGGGGAATTAATAAAGTGGGTCAATTTTCATATAATGAATATACCAGATAATAGTCATCGCATGTACACTAAATTGATCAAATGAATATCTCATTTTTATTTTTCAGTATTATGAAGTCCTAGAAATGATTTTTTTTTTTCGATATATCATGAAAATGATATTCGTTGTTACATTAATTAATCAAGTAGTACGATTTATTCCTAAATAGTTATTTTCTGTGGCCATAGCAGTTAGAATTGTAATCTTCTATTGTGACTAATGAGATTAATAAAGTTATTATTACCAAAATTTTATAACGTTACAAATGTACATTGTATAAAATTATGTAATTAGGAGTAATCTATACTTATGAGACACTGTGAGTCAGCATGAAAACCTTCCTTGTGAATTATATTTAACTTTATTTTTGTACTTCATATATCTTTTGTCATTTAGATTACTTACAGATAGTTGCTTTCAAAATTGTAATAAAAGTGTGTGTTAATATATTTTGTGAAACATTTTTTTTTTGGTTACATTATTAGAACAAAAGACTCTTATATTTTCCTTTAAAAAATTAAATTGAGAAAATTTTTGTTGGTACTATCTTTTAACTTCTAATTACGCTCCTATACTTATATAGAGGTCAAGTGGTTTAAATTATTGGAAAATTTTTCGCTGTTGATAATTATTCATATTTTCTTTTTTCCATTTTGACATACGGAATTAGATGTGATCACATTTGATAAAAAATTGTTAATTAAAATACATGTGATCAATTGTGCTGTAATCGTTGATAATCGTTGATAACGAGAAATTTTCCAATAATTTAAAGCTGCTAAATTCTAAAATAAGTATAGAAATGTAATCGAGGTTAAAAATAGTACCAACCAAAATTTTAAAACTTCCTAGAACTCTAAAAAAAGTGAAAAATCTGTATACTTTAAAAAATCAATAAATTGCTAAGCATGATTAGATAAAAGGGAACATTAATTAATTATAAATAAAATTCCAAGAATTGCAATTTTGAAAATTTTTTAAACTATGTCTGAGATTACAAATGCAAGAATTTTATTTCTTAAAAATAGACGAAGTAACAGAAGAATACAATCGATAAAAAGTAGCACAAACCGAAATTTAAATTTTACAATTTCTAAAGATTTATCATAAATTTTTTTTTTCGTTATCTACGTTTAGGATTTATCTATAATATTATTGTTTATTTCTACCAACATAGATTAACTTTAATCTCAGTTTAATTTACTGTTTATATTATTTTAATTCTTAGGTCTAATTCATAATCCGTTCTTATCCATCTACAATCTTAAGATATTTTTTATAATTAGTTACAGCTATTAGCATTTTAAGACATTACTTAAGCAATCTTAAGAACGGAATTATAAATACCGGTAAATGGAAAAAAATAAAAAGTGAGTTAAATTAAAGTTAACCTTGGTAAAAATAAACGTACTATTATACTAATGCAATACAAAATTATGATGATTAAATATTATTTAAATACGATATATTATATCACAACAAGAGAGATGATATATATGACATCACCTTAAAAGGAAAGAGAAGGATATATTCGAAGACGGTTCTTTATCACTGCAGCTAATTTCACGCTATAGATCAGACGCTCCATGTGTGTGATGTGTTTTTGTTCTTGAAATAAATATTATTTTCTTATTTAAAACGAGACAAGGCTATAAGTCAAGTTTTAAAAGGAATGGCTGAAGGCACATAATTAAGGGAGACGATTCTCACCACGCACGACAGATTTTTCGAAGTCTGCTTTGGAGGACCTGGTGACATTCGTTGGAGAGCGCGGGTTGGCGCGCCTGCAAGTGAATACGGGAGGTCAGTGCACGTCACGTAGTTATTACTCGAAGCCGAGGAATCCCTTCGGAGACTTCGGTTATTCGTGGTGGCCGTTGTGTCGTAAGTGGGATACGCAACAGCGAATTGCTCTGTCAAAGACTTCCGAGCGGGCCGGGGACATTTGGTGCGCGGTCAGGCTCGGTCTGCTCACGTTGGTTCACGCTCGACAAGACTACGGCCACGTCGGGCGAACGCACGCGCGCGCGCGGAGGAACAGCGGGAATCGCGATAGAGAAAGAGAGAGAGAGAAAGAGAGAACGAAATCGCGGACGCCGTGCGTGAAACAACCCGGGTGTGCAAACTGCGAAGCAGCCGAGTTCCACCGCGAGGAAACGAATCAGCAAGCGAACGAGAGAAAGGGAGAGTGAGAGAAAGAGAGAGAGAGAGAGAGAAAGAAGCGAGAAAGAGAGAGAGAGAGAGAAAGAAGCAGACGAGTCACTGGATGCAATCGCGCTCGCGGTCGTCCCAGCCGGTGCACCCTTTGATTCGACCGCCTAGTCTATCCTAAGATACCTAGCTCGTCCCCCTCCGATACGATCGCCGCCGTCACCGCCGCCGCCGTCGTTCGACGCCCGCCGCCGACGACGACGACGACGAAGACACGCGAGGCAGCCGCGCGAGTCGCAGGTTATGTCAAGCGGATTGGCAGGCGCTGTCTCAAACCAGGTCAGTGTGTTGTGTTGACGCGATACGCGATACGCGCCGCGCCGCACCGCGCGCTGTGCCGTACCGCGCCGCGCTGTGCTGTGCCGTGCCGTGCCGTGTCGTGTCGCGCCGTTGCTGTTGCCGTTGCCGCTCTATCGCGGCAGGACAACTGACACATACCTCCCTTCCTCGTTGCCTCCCCCCCTGCTACCGTTACGCTGCCGAGGGTTGGCACTTCTCTAAATTTTGTATGTTTTTTCATGCAACGGTATGCAGCGGATGAAAGGACAAACCGGCAACCAAGGTGAGTAACCCACGCCAGAAACTCGTAGCCCGACGATCTTTCTCCTCGCTGTTACTTACTCGTCATCACTCGTCACTAGAGTTCTCGTAGAGGAAGCGCGCGAGTTGAATTGAGAACAGCGAAGAGCAAACTCTTTTATTGGAGGATAATACTACGTTAATCATTCGGATGCTCGGAGAAATGTAGTTGTGTATACATTGAACGTGTGAGGTTTGTGATATAGCTGAAGAATAGATCTTGTTGCCTGCGTAATGAAGAAATTGACCTGGCAGAATGTTCTCCAGAATGAAATTAAAAGATTTTCTCGTGCGCTATATAATATGAATCTCTCAATCTCTAGAATACAACAATGTTGATCCTTTTTTTATTATTATATTTCAAATCTTTCAACTTATATAACTAACTATCGAGTTATACATATTGGATGTACTTGTTTCTTGTTAATTTATTATCTGTATGATGTAACTTCAATGTAAGGTAACAATAAAGAAACTATAAATCATAGTACTGTTCTAGTATCTACAATACGAGTTTATATTTACTTCAGAAACCGTCTTGAAATTAATAATATTAACAATCTATTTGAGGAATAAGCAATATTTTGGCTGCTGTCTTATCACGTGTGCCTAATTGCTACATATACATTTGAACATTGAGTAAATGCAGTTCTGTTTCGGACAGTGAGCAATGGTCCTAAGGAACACCAGCAGCAACAGCAAACGGAGCATGCCGCTGGCGAGGACACTGGTTTCGACTCGTGGCGGGGCGGCAACAATGCTCAGCATCACTCGAGTTATCCGATCGGCACCGGCGATCCGTACAGCCCGTACTACGCCGGTACCTCGTTCCCTTATCAGACCTTCGGCGCCGGCGATGGCACCTGGTCGAATGGTACCGATCCAGTCACCTTTCTGTCCGGTTATGGTGGTCAAATAAGCCACGATGCATACAGTATGGATGGCATGTTCTCGGCGTCGGCAGCCGGCGGTGGTTTCAGCGCGTTCGGCCAGCCGCCGTTCAACTACTTCCATGGCAACGGCGACTTCAATACATGGGGTACACCAAGGAGGACCAAGTATGAGGATTACTATCAACCGCCGCGCGGCAACGAGAGCTATGTTAATCCGGCGGCGAGCGGTACCGGCGAGATCAAGACCATCGAGCAGGGCGTGCAGGGTCTGTCAATCGGCGGCAGTGGTGGCGGTGAGTTGCCACGGCAAGATCAGCAACATCCGCAACAGGCTACGGCGCAACAGATTAAGCCTGAGCCGAAGGAACCGAGAAAGATAACGTGGGCGAGTGTGGCGAGCCAGCCGGCGAAACCGGTGCCGCCACTCTCGTCCTCGCAAGGAATGAAAAAAAAGGCGGGCATGCCGCCACCGCCTATCGTGCCGGGTAAGCACAATATGGACATCGGGACGTGGGGCGAGGGCAAGTCTTCCGCACCGCCGCCGCCTACGGCGCTCCCGCCGCCGCAGGTGCAACCGCCGATTCCGCCGCCACCGCCGCCTGTCCAGAGGCAGCAACGACCACAGCAGCCCCCACAGCCATGTTGGAACAGACAGCCATCCGCAACGGCAACCCCACCGATCCCGCAACCACAATCACAGACGCAAATCCATATGCCGCCGCAATCGCAGCAGCATCAACAATCGCATCAACACCATCATCAGCAACAACAACATCAGCAAGTGCAGCAACAGCAGCATCAACAGCAGCAGCAGCAACAACAGCAGCAGCAACAACAACAACAACAACAGCAACAACAACTTGCCCAGTCACATCCAGTTCTCGATGAACTGAAAGTAAAGAACGATTACAATCCCGTGGAGTTTGATCAAGCCGCGCCTGGCGCGAGGTTTTTCGTGATCAAATCTTACTCGGAAGACGACATCCATCGGTCCATCAAGTATGAAATTTGGTGCAGCACGGAGCATGGTAACAAACGGCTGGACCAGGCTTACCGGGAGGCGAGTCGCGAAGGTGCGCCCCTTTATTTGTTTTTCTCTGTAAATGGATCCGGTCATTTCTGCGGCATGGCGCAGATGGTCTCTCCTGTTGACTATCAGAGCAACAGTAGTGTCTGGTCTCAGGATAAGTGGAAGGGTCAGTTTCGCGTCCGTTGGATATACGTGAAGGATGTTCCTAATGTGCAACTGCGACACATTAAGCTTGAGAACAATGAGAATAAACCGGTGACCAACTCGCGAGACGCACAAGAGGTCCCGCATGCGAAAGGTGTCACAGTATTGCGTATCCTGCATACTTATCGTCATTCTACGAGCATCTTCGATGACTTCGGACATTACGAGCGCCGGCAAGCCGAAGAAGATCAGCGTAAAGCCCCAAACAATCCTATACAACATCATCATTCTTCCTCTAATCATAGAAATAGAGGACATGTCTCAGATATGTCCAGAGACCACCATCAGCATGGTCATCAGCCTCATCTGCATCAGCGCAAGGTAGATAGATTCTATTGAATTTTCTTCGATCTGCACTATGAAATCTTCAAACAGAATTCGCTTACGATCATTTAATGATTATTATATATTATTTTGTTGCAGGAGCGTGGTGGTCGTAGTGGTAGAGGAGGTTCGCGCCAGTAGCGCTTAATATTGGAGAGACGTAATGCTGTTAACGAGAGTAATCGATGTAAAGGAAGCACGCTACGAC